GGGTCAACAAAGGCAAAATAGTGCCTTCCCACTGTCACACATCGAAGATACGCAGGCTGAAAAGAGCGCGAGCATCCCTATATAATATATATATATACCTATATACCTGGACCCTCTAAGGGGTGTCCAATGAACTACCCCACACTACCTATAGGCTTCCAGACAGGGCACCCCTTGGAGGGTCCAGGTTTAGGCCATAAAACGAGGTGCAAATGCTACATAGAAGCCCCGCTCCTCTCCGCTCCGCTCCGCCACGGCCGAGATCGCGGTTGGCGCTTCGTTTGGGATTCCGACCGGTCCCAGGCAGGCAAGACCACGTGGGTGGAGTGCTTCAGTGGTAAAGGCGCCGGCACTGGAGGCGTCTCCTACGCCACCGCCGAAGAGGCGGCGAATGCCATCACCATGCTCAATGGGCGTCCAGACCGCGGTCAGGGGGGCGGAGATTGGAAGGATGGAGATGAGGTGTCCCTGTGAGGGCGGTCAGGGTGGAACACGGCGAAGTCTTCTTTTTCGGTTGTCTTCTTGCCGCGCTTTGCGTCAAGAAGGCTCAGCGGCCTAGCACACGAAATTCTACAACACTTTATAATGTAGAATGTAGACTCTTGATTAATAAACCCCCCTTATCAAGAGGACTTCCATTAATCAAGAGCCTACATTACATCAAATTGCATGCATTGGGGTTGAACTCTGGACTGGTCCTGTCCACCCACCACTTCAACACGTGTGGAGCTTTCGCAACAGGCAAGAGGTCCTTTTTTATTCTTTCCGGTCCTTCCACTGTGATGCGACATTTTGGAATCCATTCTTTCTCCGAAATGAGGAGCAGTGGTGAACGGTCGTGGTCTCCCCACTCCGATGTTTGAGCATGGGCCCCACCCACTGAAACAGCGGCAGGGCCTTTCGTCACCGAATCCAAGAGAATCCCAGTTCCCACCCGGAAGCACAACACGCAAGCGGCTTCGAGACCGAAGTGGTGTCCACCAGTGAAGTGGGGAAAGATGCCGCAGGGATTGAGGCTCCGGACCCCATCACGGCGCTCAGGAGCCTCTTGAATGGCCAAGCGATCATGGTAGATGTATGGGTGAAGCAGACGGATGCACCCGCCTCCTAGAGGCCCGGCGGGGGCCGTGCAGACGGGGGCCGTGCAGACGTGGGCCCCAGAGCTCCCCTCAAAAGGATGTCCAACAGACTTTCCTGATGTGATCAGCCACCAGCTCGGCTCACTTCAGACCACCAGGGGGGACACTGCACGGATCTAAGGAATTGGTCTCAAACAGTGTGGACCCACAGTGGAGCAGGGGTTCTTACAGTCATTCATTCACCCTTGTTTTTGGTATAATATATAACCGACATATGCGCTCTTTGACACACTCACGTTGACTCGTGGAAACCCACTGGTGTTCTTCGGAACGTCCTCCGAACCTGCGGGGGCCCGAGCCTTCGTTTTCGATGTGGAGCATGTGTGGCACCGGCACCGGAAGCCGCCGGAAGCTGACAGCAGCGCTTCAAAACAGGTGGTGTTTTGGGAGGTTTGGGTGAGGATTGCTTTCTCACGTGGGGACCATTTTCGGTACTCATTCCACCACGCACACGGCTTCGCGAGCCGACGCACGCGCTTAGCCCTCTTCAGGCGCGGCGAAGCGGCAGGAGTATTCGTTGCGCCGAAGCTGATGCGAAATGTGCGTGTGGAAAAACGGTGTTCGTTGGTCACCAGGTACTTCGCCTGGGCCTAGGGCGGTCAATGTTGCTTCTTCTAGGGAAGACCATTTACTCTACGAACAGGTGGTTTAGTGAGAGGGAGTGTATTGCATACACACCAAAATCCACTTCAAGATCACTTGGTCGGCGCACACAGAAGCCTGCTCCTGTGATCTTCTGACACGCTTCCTTTCAGCAACCCATTAGTGAGAGAGCCCTTTCTGGTCAAAACAGGGGTTAAACGTTTTTGAGTTTTGAGGGCATATAATTGGTCATATATTTTTAAATATCTAAATTTTATATATCTCAAGACCCTGAGAATCCAAGTCTTTAGGTGATCCGAATCCGAGTCCAGGAATTTTCTTTACTTCACTGGTGCCCCTAAGTAGTCTTTTGGACTTCTAGGTGTGCATATACTGATCGGTACAATGTCACTCTCTTCGGGTTACGCCACTTTTGGATGCTTTGCTATAGGATCCACGCCAGGTTCGTTCACCTCTCGGGCGGTCCAGGTCGAAGCTGTTGGTGAATTCGGTCCAAGCGATTTCCGCTTTCCAGACTGCATTTGACCGTGAATTCTTGAGACTATTGAACTACTTAAGGCGTTCTTCAAATTGAACGCCTTCTGCCTAATACTGGTGAACTAAGGGGTTCAACCTGAGGCACTTGCGGGCAACGACCCAGCATTTGGCTCATCAAGATCCTGTCCCACTGGTCGTGTTTGGGTTATGGTCGGTGCAGCACCTGGCCGCAGTGCTCTCGGCTCGGGGCGACCTGCGAAGCCGAGCCCCACGTCCGTGGCGGGTGTGTCCGGAGGCCGGGCGGAGGCGTTCGGTGTGGGGCGGCCAGACCGCCAGAGCTGAGAGCTGAGCCGCGGTGTTTTGAAAGTGCTTTTTGGAGGCCGGACTAGGCGCGTTCGTTCCTTGGGAGAATGGATTGAACGGGACGATTCGAGCAAAAACACATGTGGTGGCCCTTCACCTGAGACATACCCACACACGGCGTCCATGGTTTATCGGACCTGGCATCGACCCCTCTATTATATCTCAGGTTCGTACGGACCTCATTGATACAGAAGAGGGTTGGGTCATGGGGAGTTGCACGTCCGCTTTTCTTGGAGACGGGGGCCCGTGCAGTATGCTCATTGGAACAGCGAGGTCTGTCCCCCGCGTTAGCGAGGCCCATGACCTCGCTGCGATCGGTGGGCTAGTGGAGGAAAACCAGACCGTCCTACGCAAGGTGACTTTTGAGGGCTTCACTCCTATATTATCCTAAGATTTGCTCGTTTGTCACTATTATCGAGATCTGGATTGATCCTGACATACGGATCCTGGGCTCATGTGGACCAACCGGGCAGCCGGGCAGGCTCGTTTGGGATACCCAGGCTCGTTTGGTGCCAGGGTTATCGGTGCCCGGAACCGCACCCGAGACAGAGTGTTTTCCGAGCGCATTGGTTTTTTTCTGGTGAGGTAGCCATGGGCTTCGGTGGCTGGGGCAAAGGCGACTGGGGCAAAGGCGACAAAGGCGGCAAAGGAGGATGGTCTCCATGGCAGCCGATGTGCCTCGGATCGGCGGGAAGATTGGCGGGAGTTGGGCGGCGGGATTGGGCGCACTGAAACTAAGAGGGTCCTTGTTACTAGTAGCGATGCCCCCCTTGCTCCTAGTCGCAAAAAATTGCTCCGTTCGTATTTCCAGCGTCCGATCGCTCCGTTCGTAGCGGCTAGGAGTTGAGGAAGAAATGGTGCTCCAAGAAACCGTTCCCCCCAACCCTCAGCGACCTTGACCCTCCGACCTCACATGCGACCGGAACATGGGGGGCGGAGCACTCCCGGGACCCCGGGGGGGTCGGGATTCGGAACGTCGTCGGGACCGGCCGGCTGCCGTGCCACCGCAACCGGTGGGACGATGGTGTGCCCATCATCGTCCCTCCTTGCTGGTTGTTTTGGTCTTTGCCTTGTCCCTGATGGCTTGGATGATCTTGGATGATCTTGGATGGATGGCTGAAAAACGTCACGCAGAGAATCGGGATCTGGAATGGCTTTCCGTTTTGGGACGGGAGTTGGAGATTGACCCCTTGGACGCTTCCCAACTCGATGAACTCTGCTCGTATTTGCCCCATGAAACGGGCACAATGGGCGCGCTCCAAGACCGGGCACATGCAAGCTGCAAGTCAATCTTGGTTGGTTTTGGGGGAGCTCTTGGAAGGCAAGACATTTTGTTGGGCACCCTTTGAGTGCGCATGAGGCATGCATTTTGTCACTGTCAGCAGTCTCGTCCTTACGATGACGGCATGGGCTGGGTATGTCTTTAGGCACTGTTGATTTGCCTCCTCTTGGGATCAATTCTTCGTAGATGATTCCGGTCCGGGCTTAGCATAAACACACAAACAAGTATAAAGTGTTATAAACCTAGAGCGGAAGGTAATACATAACAGCACATTACACGTATATATTATATATTAATATATATAATACATAATCCATATGCATGTGTGTTTATATACATACATATCCGCATATTTATATTTATATTTATATATGCATGTTATGCTGTACTGTATGTATTTTTTTTTGTGGGTTTCACTGAGTATAAGTTCGTGTCATGAGCCAGATCGTCATCCGGTGGCATGGTCTTTCACCAGCCCAAGGGCCCAAGCCTGGCCAGTTTCGGTGTCGATCCACATGGATCCTGAACCTTCCAACAGTTGAAAGACAGGTTGAGCTGGCAGCTGGTGGTCAATCCTTCTGGTCGTTCTTCTCCGTGTGACGATCCTGCCCAGGTTCATGAAGTGGGGCATGAAGGGCAAAGGCTGGGGGAAGGCAGGCCGAACAGTGCAATTGATCAGGTTGGCACGGGCAGGCCATGCAGAAGGCTGGCACTGTAACTGTAGGTGGCTGTAGATGGCTGTCCTTCCTCCAAGGTCATTTTCACGTGGAACAGGGGGCGAATGGCTCGAAAGTGGGTTTGTTAGCTTGCATGAGTGTGGGACCCTAAGAAGTGGGACCATGCAGAGTAAACTCTTAATGACCTGTTGCAATGTGCAACTTGAGTGAGTCAGTGGACTGCAATGACGTAGCATGAGCCAGACGTGCATGCACTCACAGGACCCCGGGGGCAGCCGGGGGCTGCAGGGGGCACGAACAGCACATCACGAAGCAACCGTTTTCACACATCAGTTACATACATGTATGTCTTTACATATGCATGTACGTATATATGCACCAACATGCATGTGTAAAAACATGCGTGATAGTGAATCAACCTTAATTAAACCCACACACCAGGGTTTGGCTTGTTCTCAGAAGTCGAGTCGCCGCTCGATGCATACACCGATGATGGTCAACATCGAGCACGTGTTCCGAACACGTGACGCGCGAAATTGGTTCGCCAGGGCAGCAAAGGCCTGAAGGTGGATCCAGCCTTGAAATGTTGGATCGGCAACCTGCCTGAGGGCACCTCATGGAAAGCCTTACAGGAGCATATGAATCAGGCCGGATTCAACCAAAAAACAACCTCGGAATCCATGCGCCGCGTGCATGTGGGATGCGGTTGTGGGAAGATGTTGAGCTCAAGCGTCCAGTGGCCCACAAGTCAAGGGGATTAGCAAACAGGGTTGAAAGTCAGGGCCCATGAACTCGGGTTGCCCTCAAAGATCAACTGACACGTGAAGATGTGCCCCAGCATGTGGTATGACAAACGCACCTGTGAAAGGGCGCTTTGTTATCCTAGACTGCCTGTGACTCCAACGGCGAACGCCGAACGCCGGACGGTCCTACCCACGGGTTTCCCCGCTCGGGATCCGATCTGCGGACGGATCGGATGGGCGGAGCGGCCCCCTTGCAACCCCTTCCACCGTGGCGGTTGGCGCTTCGTTTGGGATGCCGACCGGTCCCAGGCAGGCAAGACCACGTGGGTGGAGTGCTTCAGTGGTAAAGGTGCCGGCACTGGAGGCGTCTCCTACGCCACCGCCGAAGAGGCGGCGAATGCCATCACCATGCTCAACGGGAGCGACCGGGGGTCTCATTCCGTGGGAAGCGACCGGTGGATGGCGCGACTGGCACGTGTATCCACGGAGGAGGTGGATGGATGATCAGAGACATGCTGGATTAGCCCTCAATATATGTCATATTATTTCATCATATGTCTATTTTGTGGGTGCAGTTCCCAATAGCCTTTTCGCTGCGTAGCACGTGGAGGGACCACGATGTGCAATTACTCGTTTGGGGTGCCTAGCCTTACTAGCCATCCCAAACTAGAAGGAGCTCAGGAGCCCGAGGTATCCGGAGCTAATCCAGTTCTTCACCATGAAAAACCCGGGAGCCAGGTGACTCTCGCTCGCCAACACGGGAGTTCCGTTCTTTAGACTGGAACGCCATTCCAGGGCCCAGGATTGCTTTAGATAAACCCCCAAGTAGATAGAATTTCGTTAGATCCTCACTCCCATTAAACATGTATTGGAAACCCTGCCATCCTCTCTATCTGGGGACGGCTGCCACAGTCGATTCTCCGTCAGGAGCTTGTTGAATGGCCAAGCGATCATGGTTGACGTATGGGTGAAGCAGTCTGATGCACCAGCCTCCTAGACCTTCGGCGGCAGTCATTGGCCCAGACCAAGGAGGCCAAGGCGGCCAAGGCGTGTTTGTAAATGGATGAGGTGCCAACCTGACCTCACCTGTTTCGTTTTGACCTGTGAGCGTGGACAGTGGCGTATCCTTGGATGGATTCACGATCACCGGGGCCCTCAGGCGAAGACGGCAACACCTTCTTTGATCATCCCTCTGAGGCATTGCCAAGGGGAAAAGAGGAGTCCTGGTTCAAAGTGACGATCCCCAGGTTTGAGTTCAACAAACAGGCCCGAAAAGAGCCACTCCAAGAGGCTCACTTTTTTCACCAGGTGTGATCCAATTCCACTTTCCACTCCCCGACTCCACTCCAACTCCACAGCTCACCAATTGATACCTGTTAGGGCCCAACAACCCTCAACTCCCGGCAGGGAAGGTACTGAACTCCAACTCCATGAGGCACCCCTGGCCGATGAGATTGCCGCGAATCGCCCGAAGGCGCTTTCCGGCGGAGGCCACCGCCGGTCGGCGTGTTTTGGGGCTCGAAGCGATCGAAGGTAGCAACAAGTAGCATCGCGCGGGTTTGGACTATACTCCCTGGGAGTCAACGACTATAAATAGAATGGTCTGACTAGGGGAACTGAAAGGGAACTTCATGGAACTTCCTTTACTTCAGCCGGTCAAAATATAGTCTTTGGACTTCTAGGGTACTTACTTCCGACTCTGCCGTTTCCTTCGACTTCTGGGATCAACGAACTCGAGTTCGTCCGCTGGATGGCAAGCCACTTTCAGCCGAGGCGGACGAGAAGAGGCCGCGGAGACGGTTTTGACGCCCGACGGGCAGGGGCGAAAAAGGAGCACGGAGTGCGGAGCACGGTGGGTGTGGGTCATACCCTGCTTCGAAATCATGTGCATTACAAACTGTGGAGATGCCCACTTGAACGGGGGTTTGTCCATGTTCTCCGGCTTGAGCTTCAAAATCGTGTCCACAATCGTGCTTTCCAAAACTGTGAGATGCCCACTTTGTGTGGAAAGTGCATCGAAAAACACACACAAAAACCGTGTCGATCTTCCCTACCATAGCCGCACATAGGGCAAGGGGTGTGTAGTGTGCGAACCGTTGCGCAAGAGCAAGACCTCTAGTAGACTCCAGCGAACTCTTCCGGTTTTGATCCATAGTCCCGGTGTGGACGTGGGCGGAAGGGACTAGCCGAGGGCATGGCCATCTTCAACGCTGACCGTACCCTTCCTCCAACAATCATGGAAGTGGACAGGCCGGGAAGACAAATTTTTCCCCAATAGCCATGCTATGGGGTCTTGCAAAACTAATAGGCGGACGGGCGCCGTCGGGTCACCGTCAGAGCTGGTGGGCGGATGGTGTCCCGGTCATGTTTTGATGGCGTCCGGGTCATGTGATGCTGGTGTCCCG